CAGCAGTTCTTTTTGCGAAGAAACAATATTGGGAGGGCTTGGCTCATCAGTGGTGAAACCTTCCAGCGGTTTCGTCAATATAATATACCGCTGGGAGGTTTCACTACTGATGAGCCAAACCCTCCCAATATATTTTCATAGCAGAAAGAACAGTAGAAGTTTGTTGTATTTGTAAAAGAAACAGTCGTGATTTAATGCTTTTATTTCTTATATATATATTTTTAGATGACAGACACTCATCCTCAACACTTTTTCCAGGATAAGGAGGTTCCCTTTCATTTTATATATAATATGTTAAATATATGAATAGATAATATATAAATTTTATTGATATAGAAAACGAACAAATATCAGTTCAACTTAATGATTTATGTAAACTGCTTTACCATCCAATATATTAAGACTATCTTCTTTTATTATCCTATTATATAATTATATAAGTTCATGGATACTGAATTCGTGAATTACAATCAATAATTTTAATTTACTTTACCTTTTCTTTTTAATTAAAACACTGTTCTACTACTCCTTATATTACGGATATGTGTTGTTTAAACATGTATATCCTTTTATTCTACCACATTTCAATATATATGGCAATATAATATTACAATAAGCACTAATGTGGACTTGGTAAGGCAAAAATGACTTTTCCTGACAACATCCAATAAGAGACTACCTGCAGTAAAGACCCGGGCTTAACAAATGAAGACATTAAGACGCAAATTTTTCTTTTTACAAATAAATCAAACTTATATTGTTCTTAATGCGATGAAATAATAGAAGTTTTATTTATTTGTGAAAAGATATACGTCTTAATGTTTTCATTTGTTGTATATAGAGGGCGCTTTATTGCTTTGCATCTATATCTTCAGGATACGTTATAGTGTTTATTTCACTTCATTATCACAGGATTGTGGGTTTCGACAAATTACATCATATAACGTCGCAACTATTTTTAATAACTTGATTAAAGGAAACTTTAAGGCAAGCGCTTCTTCATCTGACTAAAATAGATGGTGAAGAAGGGTTTGACAGAAATTATTCTGTAATCCAAGTTAATAAAAAGAGCTTCAGCGTCTTATAATCTTCAGCAATTATTTTACTTCTACGAAGTGAGAGAATCTTTGAGAAGAATCTCTGTTAAAACCTAAACAAACATAGTTTTATTGTCACATATAAAGATAGACAAATTATTGTCCACAATCGCTGTTGTCAGACAAAGTCTTGTCAAAACAAGGAAAGAGGCTAAGCCTTATATCTCCCCCAGCGGCCCATTGCCAACTGTTCAACGAGCCGCACAAATTCCAAATGGTCAAACAAACACGAGTTTAATGTCTCTTGAAGATAGTTGGGAATCCATTCTCCAACCAATTCTAGGCGTGAAAAATACATTTTCATTGCAGAGTCATCTTTTAAAAGTTATCTCTTTTATTTTTTTAGAGATATTTTCTTTATACTCGTAATGAATAGTAGGCTATTTAGAGTTTTACTTATCTTTAGCCTTTATTTTGAAAATATATTTTATAGCTACTATGTGAAGTTTATGAATACAGATAAATCCGGGGGTTCTTATATCTGTGATTAGAGTGATATAGAAGATTTCTTTTCTCTGTATACTAGAGATATCTCAATTTTCTGTTGATGGTGAATTTTGGACACTTGTGTGCCGACAACACCTTGGATGGTAGATAACGTCGAATCCGGTGCTGCGACATCCGTTCTGACAAACGCTCTGTCCTCCCGTTCTGTTGTGTCGCTTGGTCGACCGATGCCGTCATGACATTGTATTCTTCCGTTGTTGACCCACTCTTGTCAACATCGTCTAATAGCCGCATCACTTCGACCCCAATGTAGGGCGATTAGTCGATTTAACCAACCAGCCTCTTTCAATCCAATGGCATGACCTCTTTCAAACTCTGACATAAGTTCGTAATGAGCACGGTTCTTTCGGCGAGACATTGATACAGTAGAAATAGGCTTACTGCAAAAAATAAATTGAACGAGAATTTTGAAAATCAGCTCGTTGCGCTCGAATATTGAATCAAAAATACTATTGATGGATACGCGCAGTTCAAATACGCTAGAAATCTTGCTTAGCTTAAATCAGCCACCAAATTTAAATAGTTTGCATGTTTAGTCGAAACGTTTTAGTATACGTATTTGCATATAAATTGGACAAATCCTTCTTGGTGCGTCGATTTATTGTTGTTAAAGTATATATAAATTTGCATTTATACCTCTGAAATTACATTTAGGAATAAACATAGAATATAATAATTACAATATAGTTTGTTTAATTGTTTATAAATATATATTCTCATATAAAGGTTTTATGCTACAGTGTGAATTTTGGTGTGTTCTTGCCTTCCTTCCATCTGCCACGTTACAACTGTAGGTAAGTAAATCACGCACTTTTGTTTAATCAATGTGATGTAAAGGTAGGTACTGTATGATGTGTGTGCTCTGTTGGTTGGTAACAGCACATTCTACACACTTTACATATGGACCAGTACAAATTATTTGTTATAGAAAAGATGAGGCTCCCTGGACGGCATTCATAGTTCTTCAAATTAAAGATACTCCGTCCAGTAAAAATATTTTTATTATCTCGACGTTTCGACAAAAATCTTTTGTCCTCGTTATGAGCGAACAAAAATTAACAAAATATTTTACAAAATTTGAAATATCGCGCTAGAACGCTCTTGCAGCTTTAGAAGAAATTTCAAGGCTTTGCCAAATGTTTTAATTTTTGTTCGCTCCTGACGAGGACAAAAGATTTTAGTCGAAACGTCGAGGTAATAAAAATATTTATACTGATCTTTAATTTGAAGAAACATTATATGTTGTATCGATTCACATCGCAGGATATTTACATTAGTTTGTTATGTGAAATTACATTATGATGAATATTTATGATCACAATTCAATAACCGCTAGGTTTAGATAACAACTGGGACTGCGGCTATTTGGTAGAGTGAATGAGAAATTCTTTTAACGTTTCTGGTAAAATTGTTTCGAGCGACTTTTCTACTAATTCTTTTTATTTCATCAGGAATACTCTCTACACAAATTCTTTGTAACTTTCTACATATATAAGATTGAGCGGATCACATACGAAAGTAGACGATATAATTATAAAGGTTGAGAAAGAGCTAAAGACACATATAGACTTAGATAAGGAATATATATTTAAATAGAATAATAAATTAGATAATAAAAAGGCATATATTGGATTGAATAAAAGATTTATTTTCTAATATTTCGGTTGGCTGAACGTCAACCTTTGTCAAGGCATAACATTTTCGTATAAACAAAACTCAGCGCCGCATAGTGTTATGATATCGCAGTTTATTATAATTATTACAACACTATGCGTCGCTGAGTTTGTTTATACAAAGGATTTATGCCTTGATAAAGGTTGGCGTTCAGCCATCCGAAATATTAGCAAAATAAATATTTTATTCAATCCAATATATGATATTTTTATTATCTAATGATTTAAATATGGATTGCTTCTATTTTCAGAAAGAATAATGCAGAATTCTTTTCTCAAGTCATCCGTCAACGTTAGGAAACTGGATTATAGAAGTGTTTCAAACAATTGGCGTTACAGCTAGAGAATAAAAACTATGTATAAGATTTGTTTTCTTACAGGATCTTATGGTTGAATAATTTCTCGGAAAACGTTCTTCATGAGCGATTAATATAGATCGATATATAAATAGTGGAAACACATCCATGAACAAAGCTTAAAGAAATGAAAAGCCTCTGATATTGCCGATCGTTTGTTTTTTGAAGGAGACCGAAGCAATTTTGTTCACACTTGGTTATCTCGTGTGTCTTTAATAAAGGTCACTGTGTATCAAATATATTTTAAATGTTATTTTATGAATCTCGACTTACATGCCTAAAAGTACAACTTAAGCTTTGTCCATGAGTAATTATAATTGATCTTAAGTAATTTTTTAATCGAATACAGCAATATAATGATTTATTAGAAATTTTGAGTTGCGCAGGTTTTGATTATTTCTTTCAATACTCAACATTTCTATACATATTGGTGAGATGTAAAGAAATAAAATATAAACTGCTAGCTTTCTCTTCTCAAATTTCTACAGTCTAAAAAGAAAGTTAATCATTTAACTCAATATTCGAGACTTGTTGATAGACAATATTTTTGACTTTCGGTCTGGTGCGTACACGAATAAATCGGAAGGTTTTCCGACGCTTGAACTGGATACATACAGTTGTCAATTTAAGACACGGATCCTCTAAATCTATCCCACCTACTTGATGGTCATTGTAAAATAAATTTGCAAAGAAATTGTAAACGTTTTGATTTAAATTGTATATCTATTGGGATCAGTGGAAAATGTGGCAACAATACATATTTTCCTCTTGAATTTCCTTTTCTATTTTGTAGCTTTGATATCTTTTTCACCAAAGGTTTTGTACCGCTGCATATATATGGAGCGAGAGCGAGAGATATTAGTAATGCATGAATTAAGTGAAGACAAACTATCGAGCAGGCAATTGAAAATTATTGATAGATCACCCTATTAAGAGTGTGTTATGAATATCTATTGTTGGTAAGCGTGTTTAATATTTGCTAATGTCCTGTAAATACCAGTACTGTCAAAAAGCAAAAGTGAAGACCATTGGAACAACTCCTAACTAAAATATTTCAACCTTGCATTCGAACATTTTTAATGGTTACGACATTGATATGTAGAAAGACAATGTAAATTTCCATGTCAGCCTTTCCCGGTATATACATCGGAGAATGAACAGAAGTTCTAGACTATGCAGAGCCGAAGAGGACGTTTCTTTGTTTCGACTTAGAGCGCTATGTCCCCCTAGGGAGAGGAAGTTAGATTAACCAATTTGAAAGAACAGTCTTGTATTCTTATATCCATGCGATCATATTAGGGGATAGAGAAAAATATGGTTTTACGGGCTACTTACAAAAGTGATTTTCGAGCCCTAATAAGGATTTCGCTCACAGCACCCGGTGTTCCCAAGTGGTCACCCTCCCAAGTACTGACCGGGCCTGATATTGCTTAACTTTTATGATCGAACGAGAACCGGTGTTTACAATGTAACATGACCGTGGGCATATGAAAGGTATATTAATATCATATTAAGGTATGAAGTTTGAGTTTATATATTGACTGCTAGGGATGAGTATATATATAGATCTGATCGAAGAATGATCCATGGCAGTTTATCCTAATGATAATGTTCAGAAAGTCAAATAACTGAGGTCGACAAAAAGGAAGATAGGTATATTAATACTAATTAATATAAATAGTTAGACATTCATTATCGAATCGGTTTATACATACTATCAGTGAAATATTTAACGCTTCACAATATTTAAAAATCAGAGCAAACCATTGTCATCCAAAGTCATACTTTTTCGTTATCATTTACGGTATACTTTTATATACCTTTTCGGTATCGTCTATTATTAATAGAAAAAATAAAATATATGTGATATCTTGGGACCTCTGGGACCAGTGTTACCTGATGCTAGACGAACCTCGATGTCGCCTCTACCGTGCAATCGTGGTGGAAGGCGACCAGCTGGGCCAAAGGTGAAATAAACAAACAGAGATTCCACTAAGAAGCGTCTGAACGTCAAGAAGGAATGGGACGAGGAGGTTTCTGGCAGGAAAGGGTTTACCTCTATAGGAGCGGCCTGCGCGGAGGACTGAAGGACTAAAACAAAGGACTGAAGACTGAGGCTTGGGGCCTCCTTTTATAGCCTCGCTGGGTTCAAGCAGGTCACTGCCCTTTTCTGACGTAAACAGGGGGGAAGGTTACATCATCCAGGAGGGCCACGACCTCGTAAAAATTGGACTGGGCTCGATAGACCTAATTTCTTATTCTCACTTAGGCCTGATTAGTTTTAACCTTAATTTTCTCCTGTTATTCTCCATTTCTTCTATCTGTACAGTTGCTATACTTTATTAGAGTCTTACGCGGTACAGATTGATGTTATTTGATGCTTTCTATTTGCATTAAATGACAAGTTATATACAGTCACGTGGTGATAAATGTGGTAGTAGATATCTGGATTATTTAGAACAATTCCGTGGTCTTAAATCATCACAGATGGCCCCGGATGTGAGAGGGTTCATATGAAGGGATTTAAGAGAGCGGAATAGGAATACTGTTATTAAGGAAGTAATTTTTTTAAAATTAATTGAAATTAGTTGGTATATAACATGGGGTTGATTTCTGTATATCCATAAGAGATAATAAAGTATAAACAACTAATACTAAACATACAAGTAAAAATAAAAATAGGAATAAAAGATTTAATAGAGAACATAATGATGATAGGTAAAAATATAAATGATTGGATGGGTCAATCATGATCTCTTCGTGATGGGCGTTAGAAAGGGTTGAGGGGTTAGTTATTATTAGGTTGAGCAATGTCACCTTGACTCAAGTCCCAAACCATTTAATGTGCACGGCGCGGAAAACTTAGGCCATGTTTCACATGTAAATTTAAGGACCGAATACAGTTACAGTACCACAATCAAATAGTAATATTCATATAGTAGTAATATTCATAATAGTAATAAAATTCAAAGAATATCTCTATACGTAAATAATATTTATGAATCTTTCTAAGTCGCTTTCTGTGTATCTTTCCATGTTGAATATTTTCTTTGTTATATTTGTATGTACATTTAGCGCAAGTGTCCCTAGGGGGACATAGCGTTTTTGAATTGAAATAAATAAATCTAATTTATAAAGTGAGAGAAAATATAAAATGACAAATGCAAATTAGTGATATAAACATGAAACATAAACTTGAGATTATTAGATATGAAAGATTAAATATAAGGTTGAGTATAAAATAGAATCATAAAGCAAAAGTAAAAAACTATTTGGTAAGGAGGAAAAAGTAACTAATATAAAATGACAATAGTCTAAACTGATTGGTTGACGTAAAAAAAAAATTATAAGAGCTAGATAATGATTATATAAAGTATATTAAAATGAAATATTTAAAAAAATGTTCATCGAGAAAGAAGAGCAAGTGATATTATATAGAAGGTATATATGGAGAAAGAAGGTAAAGTTGCTCTTAGTGCCTCTATGAAATAGGTCGATTTGGATGTCCTCGGTTGCGATATCTTTGGTCTTGTTGGCATAAATTGTTCCAACTTATCGAATTTGTTTTATGTTTGACGCGGCTCGTGGGTCACATTGTTCCAACTGTGAAACTCACTGAGTCCTAATCTTGTCGATTTTTTGTTCCCTGCGCCACGTTTAGGTGAAAACGTGATTCTTCCTAAAGCGGCATTTATATTGTGTGTGCAGGAAAGACGGCGATCTATTCTAACCGGTCAAGGTTTTTTTTTTAACATATGTGGGTGTGTGTGATTTTTGTAGGTAAAATGTTGTCCTTGTTTCTAAGTGTCGATGTTAAGTGGACAAGTTAATTGGCGGAGGGAGAGAGAATCTAGACCTGGTGACTTGGTTTTGGGTTAATAATGAAAGAATAGATATTTTGAATCATTGGGGATCAGTAGGCGGGATGAGTTATTGAATTAATTAGTTATTCTGTTAGTGGACTGATTTGTTAGTGAAAGTAGAATAAACGTGTCATACAATTTATTTGTAGCTAAATGGGACGGGGAAGAAGTTTCCTGTACTCTAGTAGGTGGTTCCGTCTCTAGAGTGAGTGGAGAGGCGTCTCTACGTGTTGTCCTCCGTAGGGGTGCCACTGACTGATGTCCAGTGAAGCTGTAAGCTGGCCGTCTGTCCTTGGTCGTCTGAGGCGGCGCACGTGTCTTGAAACTCTTGGGTCTTCGCTCTGTGTGTGCGCCATTGGGAGCGTCGCAGCCGTACGCGAAATTGCACCGGGGACGCCTGGTGTTGAAAAACCAAGGGGTGCACACAGTAGTAACACCCCCCCGCCTTCTCGTTGGTTCCTCGTGAAAACCTCGTGCCTCAGAGGTCCCTGACTCGTCGGCGGATTCAGGGAGTACTGGATAAGGGTACGAGGGCTAAAGGGGGGGGAGTCCTATGGGAGCGTAGGACGGGTCTTTCTAAGTCCGAACGAGAGGGCTCGGTCAGCAACCTTGCCAATGAACTCTCGGTGACGCCTGTGGGTGAATGGTCAACCCCATGGAGCCAGACCATAATGGCGGGCGCGAGGGGCCTACCAATGGCCGCTCGGTGCATGGAGAATGCATCATTCCTTCTGGCTGTGTGTGGATCTAGATTTCAGCGAAACACAGTGGACGCAAGGGCCGCATTGAGCCCATATCGTCCCTGGCCCTGCTTCGCAGGGCCGAATTTCCTATCTGTAGCTAAATGGGGCGGGGAAGAAGTTTTCCCCCCTCTACAATCACTCTAGAGGGGAGTGAGTTGAGAGGCGTCTCTGCGTGTTCGTCCTCCGTCGGGGCGCCACTGGCCGATGTCCAGTGAAGTAAGCTGGCCGTCTGCCCTTGGTTGTCTGACGCGAGGCGCACGTGTCTTGAAACTCTTGGGTCTTCGCTCTGCGTGTGCGTCATTGGGAGCGTCCTTGCCGTGCGCACCATGAAAAACCAAGGGGTGCACTCAGTAGTACCACCCCCCGCCTCCGCGTTGGTTTCCCCGCGTCAACCTCAGTACCTCAGAGGTCCTTGATTCGACGGCAGATTCAGGGAGTACTGGATAAGGGTTCGAGGGCTAAAGGGGGGGGAGTCCTATTGGAGCGTAGGACGGGTTTAACTAAGTCCGAACGAGAGGGCTCGGTCAGCAACCTTGCCAATGAACTCTCGGAGACGCCTGTGGGTGAGTGGTCAACCCCATTGTAGCCGGACCATACTGGCGGGCGCGAGGGGCCTACCAAAGGCCGCTCGGTGCATGGAGAATGCATCATTCCTTCTGGCTGTGTGACTGCTGAGGTAATGCAAGGGCTTTTGTTGCCTATATCGTCCCTGGCTTTGCCGAATTTCTATTCTGTAGCTAAATGGGAGGGGACGCAAGGGCTTGTTAGCCTATATCGTTCCCGGCTTTGTCTTTGACAAGCCAAATTTTTCCATCTGTAGCTAAATGGGTGTGCTTTCGCATGCCGGTTTATGGACCGAAAGGTCTGGGTGGCCACTGCTCCAAAGATGTAGCTAAATGGGAAGTTTTCCCACCCTCAACATTCACCCTTTAGGGGAGTGGAGAGGCAACTTGAAACTATTGGGTCTTCGCTCTGTGTGTGCGCCATTGGGAGCGTCCTTGCCGTGCGCGAAAATTGCACCAGGGGTTCCTGTGTGCTGAAAAACCAAGTGGTACACACAGTAGTACCACCCCCCCCCCCTCCTTCGCGTTGGTTCCCTGCGTAAACCTCAGAACCTCAGAGGTCCTTGATTCGACGGCAGATTCAGGGAGTACTGCCACAAATGGTTCGAGGGCCAAAGGGGGGGGGGGGGAGTCCTTTGGAGCTTAGGACGGGTTTAACTAAGTCCGAACGAGAGGGGTCGGTCAGCAACCTTGCCATGAACTCTCGGAGACGCCTGTGGGTGATTGGTCGACCCATGTAGCCAGACCATAATGGCGGGCGTGAGGGGCCAAACAATGGCCGCTCGGTGCATGGAGAATGCATCATTCCCTTTTTTGGCTGTGTGGCCGACAGGGGCTTTTACGCCTATATCGTCCCTGGCTCAGTCTTTTATTGAGCTAAATTTCTTTTCTTTTCTGTAGCTAAATGGGATATCGGAGTAGATTAATTGGTTAGGGATTAGAACGGTGGATAGTAAGAGGCACGCACTAATATTTGATTTAATAGATGGTGAAAATTCATTAGAGTGACACCCGGCAGTGGCGATGGGTCGTGACAAGAAAATGTCGGCATGTATCTTTTTGTTAGCTCGTGTCCAACGAAAGAGGGGGGCGAACTTATTTTTGGAGTTCCGGGCGGTCGCGAGGATGTTTATTTAGTTCAGGGGCCCCTTGCGGGGACAGCTTGCTTGGTGGTTGTCTCTATCTTTCATTTGGACTGGCTTAGAGTTAGTTGTACCAGTGGAAACGCGGTTATTGCCTGGTTTTCTGATGGCTATGGATTAGTGACATTGGTTTTGTCATTCTGTTTAATGTGATCCTTACCTACTATTAT